ATGTAGCAAATTCCTCTCCAAAATCAATACAAACATTTCTGGAAGATAATTCCATGTAAACCTTAGACATATTAGGAAAGTTGAATATTTTCACTTAAGCTATTGGAACAAGAGGAAATAAAAACAGATTCTAAAAAATTAAAAACTGCTGCTATACGAATAGAAAAGTATATATCGTCAATAGTTTCACTGAGCTGGCTGTCTATAAATTTATGATCTGCCATGCAGTACATGATGAATAAATAAGTGAACTTGCAAACATTTTAAGACAGAGTCTCGCTCTGTTGCCCAGGTTAGAGTGCAGTGGCACGATCTTGGCTCACTGCAACCTCCACCTCCTGGGTTCAAGCGATTCTCCTGCCTCAGCCTCCCAAGTAGCTGGGACTACAGGCGTGTGCCACCACACCTGGCTAATGTTTTTGTATTTGTAGTATAGATGGGGTTTCACCTTGTTAGCCAGGATGGTCTCGATCTCCTGACCTTATGATCCACCTGCCGTGACCTCCCAAAGTGCTGGGATTACAGGTGTGAGCCACCGTGCCCAGCCGCAAACATATTTTGTAATGGGCTTAAGGAATAATTCTCCATGATGCACCTTAACAATACAGTCTTTTTTTTTTTTTTTTTTTTTTGAGACAGGGTTTTGTTCTATTGCCCAGGCTGGAATGTAGTGGTATAGTCACAGCTCATTGCAGCCTTGACTTCCCTGGGCTCAGGTGGTCCTCCTACCTCAGCCTCCTGAGTAGCTGCAACTACAGGTGTGCAATACCACGCCCAGCTAATTTTTATATTTTTTGTAGAGATGGGGTTTTGCCATGTTGTCCAGGCTGGTCTCGAACTCCTGGCCTCAAGGAATCTGCCTACCTCGACCTCGGCCTCCCAAAGTGCTGGGATTACAGGCGTGAGCCACCGCGCCCAGGCAACGATATGATCCTTCTAAATTGAAAAGTATTATTTGTCAACAAAAGCAATCCACTGTATTTATTGTCAAAAGCAGTACTTAGTGGGAGGCCGAGGCAGGCAGATGGCTTGAGCCCGGGAGCTCAAGACCAGCCTAGGCAACTGGCAAAACCCCTTCTCTATTTTTTAAAAATAATATTATTAATTTTTTTTAAAAGTAGTACTTAGTTTGATAACTATACAGGCACTCTGGTTCTAACATTAGCTTTTAGGTAATCCTACTGAGTTACTAAGGCAATTAATGGCAAAGAAATTCATAAATGAAATTCTAGTTTCACAAAATATTATATAGTTAAAAAATAAGACTATTTTACTAAATTTGAAACACTTATAAATAGGTAAGGAGCTTAACACATGTTTTCATCAGAATTTAAGATTTTATTTTCCTCTTCAACTTAAGGTAGAACTACACTATAGTGTAGATCAGTTTCTTTGGCAAGATTACAAACCGGGAATATTTTATTTCTTTATACATTTTTTTAATAGAGATGAGGTCTTGCTGTCTTGCCCAGGCTGGTCTTGAACTCCTAGTTTAAGCAGTCCTCCTGCTTTGGCCTCCCGAAGTGCTGGGATTACAGGCATGAGCCACCGTGCCTGGCCTACTCTTTAATATTTTTCATGTTTTCTAAAATACATATGTATCAGGCCGGGTGCGGTGGCTTATGCCTGTAATCCCAGCACTTTGGGAGGCCAAGGCAGGTGGATCACTTGAGGTCAGGAGTTGGAGACCAGCCTGGCCAACATGGCGAAACCCGGTCTTTACTAAAAATACAAAAAATTAGCCAGGCATGGTGGTTCACGCCTGTAATTCCAGCTACACGGGAGGCTGAGGCAGGAGAATTGCTTGAACCCAGGAGGCAGAGGTTGCACTGAGCTGAGATCGTGCCACCGCACTCCAGCCTCAGCGACAGAGTGAAGACTGTCTCAAAAAACAAAAAAAAAATATATATGTATCAATTAGTATTATGTTTGGCTATTACAGAGTGACCTAACAAAGAGAGCAGCTAATTTCCCTCTTTATGTAAAAGAAGTCCAGAGGTAGAAAATGGCAATGCCTCAATGCCTTCTCTGCCTAAACATCAGCAATAGCTACAGGTTTGGAATGACACTCACAATCACAGGACCCCAGTAAGCCTTGTGGAACGCAATCTGGCACCCAGCTCACTTAGTATTCCAGGATACACAAGGAACAGCACAGCAACACAGCAGCATGAAACTTATTTCTGCAGGAGTCTTTATTCCAGCCTCCCAAGTGTCAGCTGAGGGGTAAAGAAACTAGATCATTTTGGATGGGTGCAGAAGCCATGAGGCTTAGAAGCTTTATGCTCCAGAAAAACCAATCCCTGTTGAAACAGTACATGAGTGTTGCTTCCAGAAATATTTGCAATAAGGAACACCACACTTAAGGAATTCCAAAGCCCATGTTTTCCAGTGGGCATTTGTAGTACGTGTTATTCTTCCTGGTCCAAACAATTTACCAATAAGGTGTCTGTTTTTTTGTTTTTTTTTTTGAGACAAGGTTCTGCCACAGCTGTAGTACAGTGGCATGGTGTGATCTCGGGTCACTGCAACCTCCACCTCCTAGGCTCAAGCAATCCTCTTGCCTCAGCCTCCTAAGTAACTGGGACTACAGGCGCACACCACCATGCCCAGCTACTTTTTTTGTTTTTTATAGAGACAGGATTTTGCCAAACCACTCAAGCTGGTCTCAAACTCCTGGATTCAAGTGATCCATCCATCTTGGCCTCCCAAAGTGCTGGGATTACAACTGTGAACCACCGCGCCCAGCTAAGGGCTCATTTTTAATCATAAACAATATTGCCTAATATTACAGCTGACATTCCATTATTACCTTGCCTAGTAGGTTTCCAGAGAAACAGTGCTGAAAGCGAAATTCGAGGTCATTTAGACGGGAAAAAAGAAAGGGTTTTATTAACCCTTTACTCATAGCAGTCCAGGGTAATCTCTCAGTATCAAGACCCAGTCTTCTATATTGCTGCTCTGCCATTCTTGGCTTCTATTTCCAAAGTTACTTTGAAGTCCAAGAATCCTGGATGGAGCTCTAGCTACCACATCCATGTTCCAGCAGGAACAGAAGATGAGCCCACCTGCTTCCTTTTAAGCCTTTAAGTTTAAGGAAGTCCCAGAAGCACCACTCAGCACTTGTTTTTTTTCTTCTTCTTTTTTTCCATCACTCAGCACTTCTTATTCCATGTCAATGCCAGAACTTAGTCATATGACCACATGTATCTGCTAGGAAAGCTAGGCACATTGCTAACCTGAATAAATTCTGGGATTCTGATACAAAGCAAAAAAAGGAGAACAGATAATTGGGTCAGGCAATGAGCATTCTCTCCTATACATACATACAGGGGGAACAATAAGCTGTCAATAAAAACTGAGACTAAAAAAAGTCATAAATTATTAGCTGGGCATGGTGGCACATGCCTGTAATCCCAGCTACTTGGGAGGCTGAGGTGTGAGAATCGCTTAAACCTGGGAGGTGGAGGTTGTGGTGAGCCAAGATCGTGCCACCGCACTCCAGCCTGGGCAACAAGAGTGACAGATTATCTCAAAAAAAGTAAAAAAATTAAAAAGTCATATAGACATGGGAAGATTATGCTTATAATCATCTGCTTATGATTTGAAAATGCTTTTTATCAAGATAAGTCATTTTCCAATTAAATATAAAACTTTTTGAAGAAAAAAATTCTTTGGGCCAGGCATGATGGCTCACACCTGTAATTATAGTACTTTGTCAAGGCAGGAGGATCACTTGAATTCACGAGTTTGAGACCAGCCTGGGCAACATGGCAAAACCCCATCTCTACAAAAAATACAAAAATAAGCTGGGTGTGGTCGCACACCCCTGTAGTCCCAGCTACTAGGGAGGCTGAGGTGGGAGGATGGCTTAAGCCCAGGAGGCGGAGGTTGCTGAGCCCAGATTGTGCCACTACACTAGAGCCTGGGTGATAGAGCCAGAACTTGATTTAAAAAAAAAAAAATTATTCATCCTAGAACATGAGCTCTCTAATCTGTTAAAATAGTTATATCTCCACCAATTGTGAGATGTAATTAACATGAGGTATGTAACTTACTGGGACTAGGTTAAACTACAGGAAATTGCTGTTTTTTGTAGTTGGAAACAATCAAATATTGGCAGTTTTACACAGCTCAACCTGTAACAAAGTATCAAAGGGTGTGAATAATTTACTTAAAAAATATAAACTAGCACAGATTTAGTTTACTGCCATAATAAAATAACGAATACAGCTGAATTCCAATAACCTTTCTCAAGTGGGAAAGGAGCAAAATTACATCTGGAATATGTGGAATTGTTCCTTTATCCTTAAGCACTTCAAAATTCTTTTTCTCGATAAAATACTTATTGTAGATTAAAAATAGCCCCAAAGATTTCCATGCCCTAATCTCTAGTATTAATGCCTGTGTATATTAAATGATCTAGCAAAAGAGACTTTGCAGATGGAATTAATGTTTTTTTGGTTTTTTGGTTTTTTTCCGAGACGGAGTCTCACTCTGTCACCCAGGCTGGAGTGCAATGGCGCAATCTCAGCTCACTGCAACCTCTGCCTCTCGGGTTCAAGCAATTCTCCTACCTCAGCCTCCTGAATAGCTGGGATTACAGGTGTGCATCACCACACCTGGCTAATTTTTGTATTTTTAGTAGAGACGGGGTTTCACCATGTTGGCCAGGCTGGCCTCAAACTCCTGACCTTGTGATCTGCCCACCTCGGCCTCCCAATGTGCTGGGATTACAAGTGTGAGCCACTGCACCTGGCCAGAATTAATGTTATACACCTTCGGTGGGATGCAGTGGTTCACGCCTATAATCCCAGCACATTGAGAGGCCAAGACAGGAGGATCACTAAAGCCCAGGAGTTCAAGACCAGCCTGAGCAACATAATGAGACTCCATCTCTTAAAAAAAAGTTAAAAAGAAAAACAGCCTGGCATGGTGGTGCATGCCTGTAGTCTCACCTACTCAGGAGGCTGAGGTGGAGGATGGCTTGAGCCTGGGAGTTCAAGGCTGCAGTAAGCTGTGGTCACGCCACTGCACTCCAGCCTGGGTGACGGAGCGAGACCCTGTCTCAAAGAAAAAAAAAAAATTATCGACCTTAAAATAGGGAGATTATCCAAGTGGGCCCAGAGTAATCAAATAGACATTTAACAGTGGAAATGGAAGACAGAAGGGTAGGTCAGAGAGAGGGATGATGGAAGAAGTAACAGGAATGATTCAAAATGGGAGAGGGACTTCACCCACTATTGCAGGCTCTGAAGAAAAGGGGATCATGAGCCAAGGAACGAAGGCAGCCTTCAGAAGCTAGAAATGACCCTGAGCTAATGGACAACAAGGAAAGAAGACTTTGATCCTTTAACTGCAAAGCACTGAACTCTGCCAACAACTAAACAAACAAGGAAATGGATTTGCCCCCCAACCCAAAACCTCCATAAAGGAATGCATTCCTGCCAGCACCTTGAATTTAGCCCAGGTAAGACCTGTGCCACACTTCTCACCTACAAAACTGTAAGACAGTACATTTGTGTTAAGTCACTGACTTTGTAATAATTTTTGACAGCCTCCAAGGAAAACTTTATATACTTAATAAAACCTTGAATTTAAAGGACTCAGAAGGGTCCCTAAAGTCATTTAAAAATATTTCATTTTACTTATTTTTTGAGACAGGGTGTCACTGTGTCACCCAGGCGAGAGTACAGAGGCGCAAACACAGCTCACTGCAGCCTCGACTTCTAGTCCCAGGCCATCCTCCCAGGTCAACTGCCCAGTAGCTGGTACCATAGGCACACGACACTGTGTCCAGCTAATTCTAAAAAAATTTTTTATAGAGATGGGACCTCCCTATGTTACCCAGATTGTCTCAAACTCCTAGGCTGCTCAAGTGATCCTCCCACCTCAGCTTCCCAAAGTGCTGAGATTACAGGTATGAACCACTGCACCCAGCCTAAACTGTATTTTAAAAATCCAATTCATGTCTGGTCCCAAACGATTCTGGTAAAATAAGTTGTGTTATGACTGGATGTGTGTGTATAGCCGATAAAATACTAAAAAATGTTAAAAGACTGAAAGCTACACAGCAATTATTTTTATGTAAGAACTCTAAAAAGTTCTTGACAAGTTATTATGAGAAAAATTTCATCTAGGAGTGATTTCTAAGGCAGCATTTGAGTTTCCATAAAAACAGAACCTTCTGTCTCAGAAGGTATATCAATAAGAGGACCAGAATCTTCCATATCCAAGTGCATTGGTTTCTCCTGTTCACAACTCAGGTTTGAACTGTCGTTCATTTGAATCTCTTCCTCTTCCAATTCCAAAGATTTATCTGGGGCTGAAGCTGCCACTTCTTCGTCTTCATTTTCATGTAGAAAGCTACAAATCATGTTGGGTCGATAGGAGAAATCATTATCCTTTATTTGCAGCCATTCCACCCCACCTAATTTGGAAGGGATGAGAAATAAACCAAAAAGAAAGAAAAAATGAATTTTAGTGAAGTATATTTTTATTTAATTTAAATCTCTATCATATGAATACATGTCAAACTGAAAGCCCAACATAAATCAAGGAATATGGTGTCTGTAACTACTGATAAAATATATTTTCCATCTTCTCTAGAGACCTTGGAACGCCTATTAGGTAGGTACCATCAAAATCACTACAAGTTATCAACCTCAATTACTATTCCATGCCTTTTTCCAGAGTTCAGTTCTCAGCTCATTATGAAATATAATTTGAGCACTCTCTGCCATCTTATGCCTTCAAGGAAACTTACCACTACTCTACAATTTTTTTTTTTTTAAGACAAAGTCTCACTCTGTCACCCAGACTGGAGTGCAGCCATGATCTTGGCTCACTGCAACCTCCGCCCCCCAGTTCAAGCAATTCTTGTGCCTCAGCTCCCCGAGTAGCTGGGATTACAGGTGTGTGCCACCATGCCCGGCTGATTTTTTATTTCAATAGAGACGGAATTTCACCATGTTGGCTAGGCTGGTCTCGAACTCCTAACCTCAAGCCATCCACCTGCCTCACCTCCCAAAGTGCTGGGATCACAGGCATGACCCACTGCACCTGGTTATTAGTCCTTTTTCTTCCAATTCAGTTTCAACTACAGATGTTCATATTTTTTTCCTGCAATAACATCATTCTCCTAGTCAGGCAGGCTCAAAATCTTGAAGCTATCCTTTATTCTGTTATTTAGCATAATACTTAAAATAGAATGAATTTGATGTTCACTCATATTCATCCATGTCTGTTTCAATGTAATTTACTTTAGAATGCAAGTTCCTAGAAGGTAAGGGTCACACTTCCTCTCTGTTCTGTTTTGCCTCCAGCATGTAGCTGTGTTTGGTAGCCAGCCTACAAGATGGTCCCCAATGATCTTCACCTTCCTGGTATTCATGCCCCTGTGTAGTCCTGTCCCACACTGAGTAAGATATTGTGGAAATGACAAGACTGTGACCTCTTTTTTTTTTTTTTTGAGACAGAGTCTCGCTTTGTCGCCCAGGCCGGAGTGCAATAGCGTGATCTCGGCTCACTGCAACCTCTGCCTACTGGGTTCAAGCAATTCTCCCACCTCAGTCTCCCGAGTAGCTGGGATTACAGGCGCATGCCACCACACCTGGCTAATTTTTTGTATTTTTAGTAGAGATGGGGGTCTCACCATGTTGGCCAGGCTGGTCTTGAACTCCTGACCTCAAGTGATCTGCCTGCCTTGACCTCCCAAAGTGCTGGGATTACAGGCATGAGCCACCGTGCCCAGCCAAGACTGTGACTTCTAAGTCTAGTTCATAAAAGACACTGTGGCTTCTACCTTGTTTTCTTGGAATACTCTATCTGAGAGAAGCCAGCTGCCGTATCAGGAGGACATTCAAACAGTCCTGTGAGAACAACATGGCAAGGAACTGAGGCCTCCTGCCAACAACCAAAATAAATCTTGAATTTACTTTGATGAATAAGCCATTTTACAATCAGATTTCCAGCATTAGTCAAGCCTTCAGATGACTGCAGCCTAGATAACATTTTGACTGCAACCTTATCGGAGACCTGGAGCCAGAACTACCTACCTAAACTGCTCCCAAATTCCTGATTCACAGAAACTGTAAGATACTGGTTTTCTGTTGTTGTTTTAAGCTGTTAAGTTTAGGGGTAATTTGTTATGCAGCAGTAGATAACTAATGCAGACTCGAATTGTTGGTTGCTCATTTATTTGACTAAACAAAACACCCAAATATTCCCAAAGATCTGTCAGATTATTAAAGACTACGAAGAGGAAACTCGTAACTTCCTTTAATAAGAATATCCCAATGATAGCTAAGCTTATGATACATGTCAGCCTTTTAAGTTTATTCTAGAACCTAGTACCACTTTCTTCCTATAATTATTACAAGGTGCCTAAAAAGGGATAGTTCAGGGATATACATAATAAGAACAAGGGTTTATTATATAGTTGTATATAGGTGATGTAATGAATTTTGTAAGATCAATGTACCTTCAAATGTTTATTCCTTGTTAAGCTATAAATACTCATCATGAGAATCTTACTAGAGTTTCATATATGTTATTGAGCAGTGAACTTTTAAACCATCAAATTATTGTTTTTTTCAACTCCACAAACGTATGTCTACTTCAGGTGAAAGAAGCACTAGTCTAAAAGTCTCTAGTATGTGGTGACCAGCAAGTGAAGAAGAATAAGTGGATGCAAATTAAGAACTCATGCCTGTAATCCCAACACTTTGGGAGGCTGAGGCAGGAGGATCACTTGAGTCCAGGAGGTTGAGACCAGCTGGGTAACATAGTAAGACCCTGTCTCTATTTAAAAAAAAAAAAAAGGTTGGGCACAGTGGCTCACACCTGTAATCCCAGCACTTTGGGAAGCTGAGGTGGGCAGATCACATGAGATCAGGAGTTCGAGACCAGCCTGACCAATATGGAGACACTCCATCTCTCTACTAAAAATACAAAATTAGCTGGGCGTGGTGGTGCATGCCTGTAATCCCAGCTACTCAGGAGGCTGAGGCAGGAGAATCACTTGAACCTAGGAGGCGGAGGTTGCAGTGAGCTAAGATCGCACCACCCCACTCCAGCCTGGGCAACAAGAGCAAAACTCGTCTCCAAAAAATAAAATAAGATAAAGAAACCCTGTCTCTACTAAAAATTAGCCAGGCGTGGTGGTGGGTACCTATAATCCCAGCTACTCAGGAGGCTGAGGCAGGAGAATCACTTGAACCCGGGAGGCAGAGGTTGCAGTGAGCTGAGATCACGCCACTGCACTCCAGCCTGGGGGACAGAGTAAGACTCTGTCTCCAGAAAAGAAAAAAAGAAAAACGTCAGAAGAAAAAGAAAGGCTGGGCACAGTGGTCTCTTCAGGAGTTCGAGACCAGCCTGGGCAACATGGCGAGACTCCATCTCTACTAAAAATACAAAGAAGGACGGGTGCGGTAGCTCACGCCTATAATCCCAGCACTTTGGGAGGCTGAGGCAGGCAGATCACAAAGTCAGTTCCAGACCAGCCTGACCAACATGGTGAAACCCTGTCTCTACTAAAAATACAAAAATTAGCTGGGCATGGTGGCATGTGCATGTAGTCTCAGCTACTCACAAGGCTGAGGCAGGAGAATTGCTTGAACCTGGGAGGTGGAGGCTGCAGTGAGCAGAGATCACGCCACTGTACTCCAGCCTGGGCGATGGAGTGAAACTCCATCTCAAAAAAAAGAAAAAACAAAAACAAAAACAAAACAGCCAGGCATGGTGGAACATGCCTGTGGTCCCAACTACTGGGGAGGCTGAGGTAGGGGGATGGGGGGCAGAGGTCACAGTGAGCCGACATTGCACTACTGCACTCCAGCCTGGGTGACAGAGTGAGACCCTGTCTCAAATAAAATAAAATAATTAAATAATAATAATAATAATAAAAACTACTTAGACTGATGACTAACAATTGTGGTCCTAGAGTCTCCCCCACATTTAAAGCTAGCTTTTGGCCAGGGGCGGTGGCTCATGCCTGTAATCCCAGCACTTTGGGAGGCTGAGGCAGGTTGATCATCTGAAGTCAGGAGTTCAAGACCAGTCTGGCCAACATGGTGAAACCCTGTCTCTAATAAAAATACAAAAATCATTCAGGTGTAATAGTGCATGCCTGTAATCCCAGCTACCTGTAACCCCAGCTACTTGGGAGGCTGAGGCAGGAGAATCGCTTGCACCCAGGAGGCGGAGGTTGCAGTGAGCCAAGATGGCTCCACTATACTCTAGCCTGAGTGACAGAAAGAGACTGTCTTTAAAAAAAAAAAAAAAGCCAGCTTTTTCCAGCTGTGAGCCTGTTGAAAGCTGCTGCAACTGCCAAAAGTTTCCAAGGGATTTCAGCTTGGGAATTGAGAACTATTGTGATCATATCCACTTTACTTACAAGGAAGTTTTTTCCCCCCACACATGAGACAGGTAATAAGCTGACATCATAACAAGGTTTGAGGGAGGCACATCTTATACATGAATGTAAAAACATAATCATCATGCTTATGAACTACAAAAAGGTACAAGGAAGTTTTTAATTAAAGAGGGGAGAGGGGGAAGGAGAAGAGAGAGAGAGAAGCACTACTGAATTCCCTAGGGCTTAGATATCAAGTTTCTTCAAAAACTCCTCAGTCATTTCCAATGCCAAGCAGATAAAAGATTTCTACGTCCCCAATGCCCTCAGCTATATGAGCGTTCAACTGAATTTTAACTCTATGCTTGGTACTTTACGTGGAGCACCCTCCATTTTAATATATTAAACATATTATGAGGCCAGGCACAGTGGCTCACACCTGTAATTGCAGCACTTTGTAGGCCAGGGTAGGTGGATCACTTGAGGTCAGGAGTTTGAGACCAGCCTGGCCAACATGGTAAAATCCGGTCTCTACTAAAAAAATTAGCCGGGCGTGGTGATGGGTGCCTGTCATCCCTGTTGCTCAGGAGGCTGGGGCAAGAGAATTGCTTGAGCCCAGGAGGCGGAGGTTGCAGTGAGCCGAGACTGTGCCAGTGCACTCCAGCTCGGGTGACAGAGCAAGACTCTGTCTGAAAAAAACAAGCAAAAATCATGTATAGTTATTACTAAAAAGTACAAGGAGTGTCCTGGCATCAATGTACCACTGTCAAAGCCAGTACTGGATCACCTATTTTCAGAGAATAAGGGAACTAACCTATGTTTTCTTCTCCTTCCTTCTTCTCTGTCAGAAGAGTTCTTGTCATGCTGAGCTTCTTCATTGTATGACATTTATATTTTAGCACTGTTTTATTATTGCCTTCTGTATCAGCTAGAACAGAAATGAACTCCATTATTATACTGCTTGTGCTATCAAATAAAACAAAGATGAAGCCTTAATAATTCCAGTGTAGGGAATCAGATTAAACTACTTCCTGTCAAGACAGTGTAGTAAATTCAAGGTATAACTCATCCCTCCTGCTCCAAGCATAGAAAAATAACAGATAAAATACATTAACAGGCCAGGCACAGTGGCTCATGCCTATAATCCCTGCACTTTGGGAGGCTGAGGCAGGTGGTTCACCTAAGGTCAGGAGTTCGAGACCAGCCTGGCCAACATGATGAAACCCCCGTCTCTACTAAAAGTACAAAAAATTAGCTGGACATGGTGGCACATGCCTGTAATCCCAGCTATTTGGGCGGCTGAGACAGGAGAATTGCTTGAACCCGGGAGGCAGAGGTTGCAGTGAGCAGAGATTGTGCCACTGCACTCCAGCCTGGGCAACAAGAGCAAAACTCTGTCTCAAAAAAAAAAAAAAAAAAAAATACATTAACAATTGAAAGTACAACTGGATTCAAAAGTAACAAACAACTTCAGAGGTCAGAAACACAAAGTTATGAGTGAGATTAAACCCACAGGTCTAACAGGCTTCATCCTTGAAGTAGAAATTGGGGCCAGGAATTTTACCCTATAGCGTATTGGGATCTAAAATTCTACCACTCAAATGAAGGACCAAAGTCAGACTTACTACCTGAAGCCAAAGTGTGGAGTAGGGACATTCTCAATCATGACAGGCTGAGAAAAAAAATTGCTGCCAACCTGCTGCCTGGAGTTGAAACTTTCAGAAAACTTTATGCCTAGGCAGGAGGGAAGATGAGGCCCTTGAGCCAAGGATACGAAGCACAGACACTTCCATACATTGCTACTGTGAGTGTAAATTGATATCATACTTTAGAAAGTAGGCTGCTCTGCCTGTGAAGTAGCCCTTCTTTTATTCCTTGGCCAGGAGCGGTGGCTCACACCTGTAATCTTTTTGAGAGGATCCCTTTGAGAGGCTGAGGCAGGCAGGTCACTTGAGGTCAGGAGTTTGAGACCAGCCTGGCCAACATGGTAAAATCCTGTCTCTACCAAAGATACAAAAATTACCTGGGCGTGGTGACAGGCGTCTGTAATCCCAGCTACTCAGGAGGCTGAGGCAGGAGAATTGCTTGAACCTGGGAGGTGGAGGCTGCAGTGAGCCGAGATCATGCCACTGCACTCTAGCCTGGGTGACAGAGTGAGACTCTGTCTCCAAAAAAAAAAAAAAGAATTCAGGAGAGTGATGATCTCTGAAGACAAAGGGAGAGAAATAAGTTTGGAAATGGGCATAGAAGGACTTCAAATGTATCTGGAATGGGTTTGTTTTTGACACATAGTCTAGCTCTGTTGCCCAGGCTGGAGTGTAGTGGTACGATATCGGTTCACTGCAACCTCCACCTCCCCGGTTCAAGCAATTCTCATGCCTCAGTCTCCCAAGTAGCTGGGTGGCACATGCCACCATACACAGCTAATTTTTGTATTTTTAGTAGAAATGGGGTTTTGCCATGTTGGCCAGGCAGGTCTCGAACTCCTGGCCTCAAGTGATCTGCCTGCCTTGGCCTCCCAAAGTGCTGGGATTACAGGATTAAGCCACCTGGCCCAGCCTGGCATGTTTTTTTTTAAACTATAATCTGAGTCACATTTGGGAAAATGGTAGGATATGATACAGCTAGACAATGGATACATGAGATATTTAATGTTTATTATGCTTAAGTATGATTGAAATAGTTCATATTAAAAAGGGCTGGGCTAGTAATCACTTACCATGTTCAACATTTTCTTCAAATATAACACAGGTCCCAAGAGTATCTACAGAAAAATACAAATTGTTGAGAAGAGCTACCATCTCTGAAAGGCCCATATCAGAAAGAGTTCCATCTATCTGACATCCTCCTACCTTCATACTCCCCAGCAAAGACACAGCTGTCCACTTGCAGAATGGGCCTCTCAGTGTCAATGCCCTACAACGGAATAAAGGATCATAAAAAAAAACATGATTAGAAAAAGACTTCAACATTATAAACCTTGCTACCAAGGAAACTAATCTCCAAAACTGGAGAAACTCTAGAGCATCTTGTCCTACCAAGTAAAGGATAAACTACAATTGCTCTGATCACAGCAGCTACAACTTGAAGACTACTTAATTCATACTCAAGTAACAAGGTCTATTTCAATCAGCATCTTCTTCAAAAGTAAGCTAAGAACAGAGGAAGTTTTGTCAACAGTAGTGCAAAGAGTCTATCTATCTGTCATCTATCTATTTTTTGAGACAGTGTCTAGCTCTGTCACCCAGGCTGGAATGCAGTGGCATGATCATGGCTCACTGCAGCCTTGACTACGAGGGTTCAGGCAATCCTCCCACCCCAGCCTCCTGAGCAGCAGGGACCACAGGAGCATGCCACCATGCCCAGCTAATTTATTATTTTTTTTTATTTTTATTTTTTGAGATGGAGTTTTGCCCTTTGTTGCCCAGGCTGGAGTGCAGTGGCGCGATTTCGGTCACTGCAACCTCCGTCTCCAGGGATCACGCGATTCTCCTCTCTTAGCCTCCTGAGTAGCTGGGATTACAGGCGTCCACCACCATCCCCGGCTAATTTTTGTATTTTAGTAGAGATGGAATTTCACCATGCTGGCCAGGCTGATCTCCAACTCCTGACCTCGTGATCCATCCACCTCGGCCTCCCAAACTGTTGGGATTACAGGCGTTAGCCACCACGCCCAGTCATTTATTGTTATTATTATTGTAGAGAGGGGGTCTCGCTATGTTGCCCAGGATGGTCTCAAATTCCTGGGCTCAAGTGATCCTCCCACCTCTGCTGAGATTACAGGAGTGCTGAGATTATAGGAATATATGTACTGTTCCATATCACAATGTTACTTCCCCCAAATCTGTAACTTTCTCTTCAGCCACACATTCAAACAAGCAAGCAAAGTTAGCCATTTTCTCCTATCTGCTCCCATAGTACCCCTGTACTTTTACATTACACTTAATTATATATTAATTAATTATACTTAGTGTACTTCTTATCCTTAGAGTTTACTGCTTTGTAAGGTGAAATAAATACATCAATACTTGTGGACAGGTATTTCACCATTCTTGTTTTACATTTAAGAAACTCTAGAACAATCCCCCCAAGTCTAGAAAACTCACCAAAACCTTGCATTTATTTTCACATTTTGAGAGAAAGTCTGAATCAATAATTCCTGATAATTCCACCAGAACCAACTGCTCCTGGTGAAAGAAAGAGGGGTTAACATGCTAGCACGCGAGCAGGCAAGAGGGAGCAATTAGCAAAAGCCAAAAATCCCACCTTTGTGAAAACCGGACCCTGTTTTCAGCAAGAGGAAACGACGCTACCTAAGGTAACTTCCCGGTACTTCCCATCCTAAGTACGGGGTGACGATTAGGGCTGAGGTCCCAAGCCGCCCGGCTCCGCGTGCCCAGGAGCAAGAAGCCGGTGAGGAGCGTCGGGGCCTCCCTCCCGCCCGCAGCTCCCGGACTCCCTTCCCCACACACGGCCAGCACAGGTATCACCGCCACTGCGGTGCAGGCTTTCGGCGTAGCGCTTACTACCTCCTCTTCCTCCTCTTCTCCGTCTTCCAGACCCCGCTCGTCGGCCGCCGCCATGGTCCCTTGGCGTCTCGCCTCCTAGTCACTGGCCACGCCCGCCAGGAGCCGCCATCTTGAGTGCGGGCAGCAGCTCCTACGCGGAGCAGCTCAGTGGGTTCCTGCCACTCCGCTCCTCGCCGCGGAAACCGCTCCTGCCAGAACTCAAGATGTCGGCTTCCGGTGGGCGGGTGGCTACGGGCGCGGAGAACGCTGGTGCTCGCGTGGAGACTCGCCACGGCCCACTCCTTGCTTAGTGATTGAAAGCAGGGGCGGGGGCTAGGCTGCCGTAGGCAGCGGAGCGCTGTCGGTCACGCAAGACAGGCCCTGCGATCTAGGGAGTCGCCGGGCTCCCGGTCCCGCTGTCGGGGAGGACTGGCAAGGCACAGGGGATAAAGGTGAAAGCAAGGAAACCATGGTTTTAGGCCTTGTGTTGACCCGAGCACATTTCTTGGAAAGAAATTATTGTGTCAGCGCTCATCCTCAATTCAACGTCCCCCAAGCCAAGTTAAAGGCACATTCAGTTTAACACTAATGAGCGCCTACATGGTAAAAAGCACTGCACCAGGAGCTATGAAAAATAGAAAGTGGGCTTAAGTTTTAGGCCTGCAGGAGCATAGGATCTGTGAGAGGTATATAAATGGACCCAAGCAAGTGCTGTAGAGATACACATTGTTATAGCAATACAGAGACCTGGGCAAGAGAAGTTTGAACAGAATTTTCTGATTATGAAAGAAATGGTCTTCCTACTTGCGATAGCATGATCTAGTGGTTAAGATCATGAGCTTTGGATATGTATTTATTTATTTAGAGGTGGAGTTTTGCGCTTGTTGCCCAGGCTGGAGTGCAATAGTGTCATCTAGACTCACTGCAACCTCCACTTCCCAGGTTCAAGCGATTCTCCTGCCTCAGCCTCCCGAGTAGCTGCGATTATAGGCATGCGCCACCACGCCCGGCTAATTCTGTTATTTTTATTAGAAACAGGGTTTCTCCATGTTGGTCAGGCTGGTCTCGAACTCCCGGCCTCCCAAAATGCCGGGATTGCAGGCATGAGCCACCGCGCCCAACCTGAGCTTTGGATTTTAATACCTGTCAAGTTCTACTGCATTAACAGCAAGGCTTTGGGCAGATTGGTTATTGTGAGGATTAAATGAGACAATACATATAAAATAAATTTAGCCCAGTATTCAGCACATAGTAAGCATTTAAAGTGCATTTAATCTATTAGTAGTAGTAATATATAATTTTTTTAGTATGCTGCTCTCTTTCTTTTATTCTTTGTTTCTTTCTCTTTCTCTTTCTTTCCTTTCTTTTTTGTGACAGGGTCTGGCTCTGTGGCCCAGCCTGGAATGCAGTGGCGCCATCGTAGCTCCGTGTACCCTCAAACTCCTGGGCTCAAAGGGAGCCTCCTGTCTCTGCTTCCTGAGTAACTGGGACTACAGGTGCACGCCACAGTGCCTGTCTTTACAGAATGGTTGTATGAGTGTGCCATAACTTGATCCTCTATTTTTTAACACATAGGTTATTTACAATTTGTGGATATTGTAAATAACATTGTAGTAAACACTCTTCTGTGTATATTTCTGTCCAGTTGCCTAATTAAATGTGTTTCATAGTTTAAAAAAGTAGAAGGAACACTGGACCTATTAGAAGTACATTTGAATTCTAGCTCTGAAGCTTACTAATTGTGAACTTTTCCAACCTCAGTCTTCTTCTTTCTTTTTTTGAGATGGAGTCTTGCTCAGTCGCCCAGACTGGAGTGCGGTGGCGCGATCTCGGCTCACTGCAAGCTCCGCCTCCCGGGTTCACGCCATTCTCCTGCCTCAGCCTCCAGAGTAGCTGGGACTAGAGGTACCCGCCACCACGCCCGGCTAATTCGTTTGTATTTTTAGTAGAGACAGGGTTTCACCGTGTTAGCCAGGATGGTTTCGATCTCTTGACCTCGTGATCCGTCCGCCTCGGCCTCCCAAAGTGCTGAGATTACAGGCTTGAGCCGCCGCGCCTGGTGGAAGCATAATTATTTTCATTCTCATATAATAAATAAGAAAACTGATGGCCGGGCGCGGTGGCTCACTCCTGCAATCCCAGCACTTTGGGAGGCCGAGACGGCGGATCACGAGGTCAAGAGATCGAGACCATCCCGGCTAACACGGTGAAACCCTGTCTCTACTAAAAATACAAACGAATTAGCCGGGCGTGGTGGCGGGCGCCTGTAGTCCCAGCTACTCGGGAGGCTGAGGCAGGAGAGTGGCATGAACCTGGGAGGCGGAGCTTACAGTGAGCCGAGATCGCACCACTGCACTCCAGCCTGGGAGACAGTGCAAGACTCCGTCTCAAAAAAAAAAATAATAATTATTATTATTATAATTATACTTACTGTGTCTTTTTTGCTTGGAAAGCAAAAATTCAATCGTATATCTAAAAATGCTTAGTAAATTGAAAAATTACATAAATTGTCAGATTTGAAGGGAGATGTGGGGAGGATAAGGAGGAGTGTACAATCCAAGCTGAGGGAACCGCAGAAGCAAAGGCTTGAGGAATGAAAATATGTGCGTTTTGGAAGGTTAGTGTGTTATAATTCAAGATACCCCTTTAAAATAAACAAACCTCATACTTCTAGCAAAGGTTATTATTGTTTGGTATTTATGAAGTAATTATTTTTATTTATTTTTAATGATTTACAAAAGAATACACAGTTGAAAGTGAGCCTTTTTGTTTTGGTTTTTGTTTTTTTTGAGATGGAGTCTGGCTCTGTCGCCTAGGCTGGAGTGCAGTGGCAGGATCCTGGCTCACTGCAACTTCTGTCCCCTGGGTTCAAGCAATTCTTGTGCCTGAGCCATCCTAGTAGCTGGGATTACAGGTGTGGGATACCACACCTGGCTAATTTTTGTATTTTTAGTAGAGATGGGGTTTCGCCATGTTGGCCAGGCTGGCCTTGAACTCCTGACCTCAAGTGATCCACCTGCCTCGGCCTCCCAAAGTGCTGGGATTACAGGCATGAGCCGCCTCACCCGGCCAGAAAGTGAGCCTTCTACCCCTGTCCCCCAACCATTTGTACTAGTTTCTTTTATATCCTTTCAAAGATATTCTGTGTGTTTACAAAAACACGTGTATATAAAATCTGTGAAATAATTTTTATTTATTTTTATTTTTATTTTTTTGACAGAATGAGACTGTCTCATTCTGTCACCCAGGCTGGAGTGCAGTGGCACCATCTTGGCTCCCTGCAACCTCTGCCTCCTGGGTTCAAGCAATTCTCTTGCCTCAGTCTCCCAAGTAGCTGGGACTACAGGCACCTGCCACTATGCCCAGCTAATGTTTGTGTTTTGATTAGAGACAGGGTTTCACCATATTGGCCAGGCTGGTCTTGAGCTCCTGACCTCAG